TTCTGTTTTTTTATTATTAGAGAATGTCAACATAAAATAAAATATAGAAGAAAAAATATTTTAAGGATAATAAATGTTTAATAAGAAAATCTATAATTTGCATTTTTAAATTTTATTTTCTTCTTTTTTGTACAAATTCAATTTTCTTTTAATTTCATTGTGTGTAATGTCAATTACGCTTAAATTATTTATTCAACAATTTATACGCACAAAAATATTATTTGCTAATTGATTCAATGAAATTCCAATTTCAAAGAAATATGATTATCATAAAATAATAATAATAATAATAATATAATAATAATAATAATAATAATAATAATAATAATAATAATAATAATAATAATAATAATAATAATAATAATAATACAGTGATAATGATAATATAAAACTGCCGAAAATTAAAATTTTTTTTGTGGAAAAAGGAAAAGTTTTAATTATTTTGAAATTTATTTCTGTTTTAATAACAATATTACTGTTGTGAATATATAATTAATAATTATACAAATAATTTTAGTTATCTATAATTATTAATAAATCAAAAATTTGTAGAAATATTAGTAATGCAAGATAGAAAGAATAATAATAATTAAATTTTGAAATATTTTCTCAATTTTAGATTTTAATAAAGCTTTTAATAAATGATTTCACTGCTGTCATTCATAACAGAAATTGATTTGTCCCATATTTCATCTAATTTTGATTAAATTTTCATTTCAATTTCAGAAACTTTCCAAAAAATAAATTTCCTTTAAAAAATATATAAATTTGAATATTTTTCATTATTACAAGAGTGCAAGATTTATAGAACAGTTTAATTCTAATTGAAATAATCAAAGGTTCCAGATTGCTGAGACAACATTATGTCATAATGCTGGTGACATTCGAATTTTGATGGATGAAGTTTGTTTTTCAGTGTAGGTGCTAAAGGTGTTTACGTGTGTGGGCGTGCGGACGTTTTGCGGGCTCACGGATTCCTAAGCGTGAGATGATGGATGAACTTTGGTTAATTAATAGAGCTTTTGCAGTTGTCACAGCAACTAAGACTCATTTTTAGACAGAGCTGCAAATGTCGCATATATCTATGTTTGATTTTTTATCATTACTCTATCTTATTGATAATATTCCTATCAATTATTTACTGATTTCACTAGTTTAATGCTGTACATAAGAAGAATTATATATTCTTTCAACTATCAAATTAGACTAAACTAATGATAATATGAATATGTGTAGGTGTGCGCACGTGGAAATGTGATAGTTCATTTTGAAGAAGTCACGTAATCGAAACATTTACGTTACGTTAAATAAATATGCAATTTGGGTGATCTTAACAAACTAACATCAATAGAATTTGTACCAAACGTATAAAAGGATTTGTCCGCTTACCGAGCAGAGATTTTTTGTGTGGAATGTTGAAGAATTTACTCGGAGGTCTAATCTACTTTTCTCTGAGTTATTTCTTTTTACGGAAAATAACCAATGAATCCTTTCGGAAATCACATTATAAACATGAGTTCGGTATAGTATAAGCAAAATATATTTTGGATAATTCTGAATGAGATTTATAGCGAGAAAACTTTTTATGTTTAATTCTGACTATGAAAAAGTCTGTGTCACTATTATCGTTATCACTGTCATTACATTTTCTCAATTTGTCATGGCAATATTTCGTGCTTTTCATGTCAATATGTTTTGTCTTTTTAGACAAAATACTCTTAGCTTTCATATCATTTTCTAACTTGATTTGCAGGAAAATTATTCTATAAATCTTAACTATCTCTGTATTTTTCATAAATTGTTAATTTCGTTGATTACTAACTTTCCTTATATAAGTTCGCTTTTTCATCGTCTTTCCGCTAGAATATCTTTCCACTTTGCTCTTATTTTATGTTGCTATTGTTGAAGTTAATCTGCTTTGTAAGGAATAAAAGAAGTAATAATTTAGATTTTATGAACATTTCTTAATAAGTGTTGGATCAATTTAAAACGGTAATTCAATGGGACATTTCAGGATAAGTATAATTAAGAGCAAATGGTCACAAGAGAGGAAAATTATGATAATTAGTAATTAATAGATATTTAATTGAAATAAAAACATGTTTATTTGACGAAAATCTTTTGCGAAATATTCCAATCACGTATTGGTGCAGTAGGAATGAAATGGATTCACAAAAGGAATTGTTACAAATTTTAACAGATACTTTTAGAAAAATGAAAAGAGAAGATAGGAAAGATTTTTTTTTTTTTTTGTATAGAAAACTTATTTTGACCTAATTTCTCATTTCTAGTGATTTCAAATTTCAATGGTTTTTGTAATTTGAACGACAGGCATTTTTGGGGGATAAATTTAGTTACGTCTTTTTTGATATTTCCAAAAAAAAAAAAAAAATTGGAGTCGATTCTTATTGGTTTCTATACTTTATTCCGATTCCAGCTAAAATTTCCTACTTTTTTTTTGTTGGGAGGGGGGGAGAGGAGGGGGCAATAATAGAATCTGTATGCAAAATGATGATTCATTATGCTTATTTTATTTGTCATTTTTCATCATAAGGCGCTTAGATGTTTCACATGTTTTACTTGATTTCTGTGTTGTTGGAACAGTTGTTATCAGGTTTGTTTGATTGCAGTATTAGGAATTGATTGATAAGTGAGCTATATTCAGGGAAGAGATAACTTTAAATTGTTTCTTGCTAATTTACAGTTTCTTGAATATTCTTCATTCGATGATTACTCCTTTTTAGGCTTAAGTTTCAAACATATCATACTATATACATCTTTAGAACGCGAGATCCAAGTGATCAATGTTTAACTTTGATGCATGAAAAGATGAGATGCACTGTTATAAAAAGATTGGTTTGCATGGACTTCTGATAAATAATGAATTATTTCATTTTGCAATCATTTTCATGAATTGCATAATCTGATTACAAATGAAGAATGCGAAAGTCTATAAGTTGAAGAATTTCTTGACGATGGTAGTGTGCAGTCAGTTTTAATGTGTTGTTGAATTTTTGTAGCATCATAGCAACTTTTATTTACATTGCACAAATTTCAGCTTGTAAAGTTAAGGTTTCACTTTTTTTTTGTATAGATTTTTGTCCTGAAATTTTATATTTGAACAAAGCTAGTTTCAAGGTGATAATTGGTATATAGATCGTAGGGTAAGATGTGATATCTCAACCAAATCTATTTTTTTTATCCCGTTCATTCTTTTTCTATCTTATTGGAATTGATGAAAGGATAAAAAAGGTACTATTCGCCTTTATAATTTGTTTCGTACTTTCAAAAAACACTCAATTATGCGCATTGTACTTAAAATCATTGATGTAAAGAGAAAACGATGTGAATTAAATATGAAATTAAATTTATAGGATTTATTAGTGAGAAAAATTGAAAATAATTTAATAGTTGACTTAGTTTAAGAAAAAAAGGAGGAAATTTGAGTTATTGAAAAACTTATTCAATTAAAAAAAAAATTTCCTCTTATTTCAGGAATATAAAGGTAAACAATAAATGCATATATCATTGCGTTAACTCACTCCGAACAAGTTTTCAGTAATTTCGCAAAATCATTCTATTTCTTAAACTTGTTTTTCTATTTATTTGCTACTCAATTTCTATTGCTCCCATTTCACATATCAGTTCAACAAACTTTCCAACAGGCAGAATAAGTTTTTTTTTTTTTTTTTTTTTCAGAATTATTTGCTATTCAAACAGCACTGATTTTCATAGTGTATCAGTTTATCTCTAAATATATGTGTGTGTGTGTGTTACATGTAAGTACTTTTTCTTATTATAGTAGTAATATACATGTATGATAATGAAACCAAACAAAAAGAATGATTGCTTTTCATTGAAATTGTTTCTGATATTGACGATGTATATTTTTTGTTCGGATCTTTTTTTCTATGCGATTGAGATTGGTAGATGGACAAAAAATCTTGTTTTTAGAAGTTACTATTTAGTGACAACATTTTGACATGTATTTAATTGTATGATACTGTATGAGATAGTCGAAAAGTTGATGAAAATGATATATCCGTTACCGTATTGGCCTCCTGTCCTATGGTATTTGGAAGGAATTGATACTGTGTCATAACTTATTGTAGCTAATCGTATGATATCAGTTATGATGACCATAAAATAAATACTAAAATAGTAGTTCGATTTATGGAATGTGGTGTCGCATGGTAAATTTGACCTCGTCTGATGAATTGTATGATGAATTTTTTTTTGAGAAAATTGTAATTTATAGTCGTTTTATCGGTTACTACTTTTATAGTTGATATTTGAAGGTTAGCCTATTTGCTGTAACGATCCAAAAAACACTATTCGTGATCATTAAGTGTTACTGATTAGTTTGTAATCGTTCCTTTTCTTTCAAATATCGAGAAGTAGTAGATAATTTTATTTGATAATAACTTTATGAATAGAATGGCTTAATTTCTTTAAGATTCCATTTTGTATTATTCAAATGGCATAATAAACGAAAAAGGTGATTTTGGTGGTTTAACCAGAAACTCTGGTTTATGGCTATGTTAAGATGTATTTTTAGAGAAGATTGCTAATGATTTTAGCCTTTTACGTATTATATTAATGATTAGAATAATCAATGAAGCGAACTTTATGTGAAATTGGCGATAGCCTCGTAGTGGAACTTTTAAGTTTAGTTTTCTTGCTCTTGTTCCTGAATAATGTAACATTAAATATTTTTTCCCCTTAATGAATTCTTTATTATCTTCCAGTTGATAAACATTAATATAATTTAGCCTGGACTTATTTGCGAGACGAGTTCCTTGTAACTATTTAAATTCCTTTCTGAATTTAACTTTCAAGGGTAAACGGCTTGTTGAAAATACGTCTGTTTAATCATTTAACACCCACTGTTAAACTCTTAAAACTTTTTTCAGTAAAAAAAAAAATTGCATATTTGATTGCTCGATCCGTGTATGTTTACAATTGAACATTACTAAATCAAAAGAACTTCTTTGATCAATATGGGGAATAGTAGCTCGTTGATGTTACAGGAAGATGAAATTCAAGCGATTTCAGCGGAGACTGGGTGTAAGCTTCATCATATTTTCTGTTTCTTAATTTAATTTTTTTTTTTTTTTTTTTGAAGTTCATTAATTTGAGTTCATTAAATGAGAAAATGATTGTTTGTGTGGTAAATGCTTACTGTAACATAGCACTGTTATGCATTCAGATTTTAAGCTCCAGCTCGGAGATTAAACTAGGCATGGGTTGGTGGATCTACTGAACGTGTCTATAAATTTTACAAACATTTTGTGTTTCTATAAATATTCCTATAAAAAATCAGATTTTACTCTTGATAAGGTTAACCATCGATATTTTTAAACAAATTTAATTATATCAGTTGTTTAACATATCACTGCTGACTAGACAGATTATTGAAAAGCTAATACTTTAATAGGTCAAATCCATATAAAGAATGCAAACGTTTAAAGATTTTGCTTATTTTATAATTTTCATCCACAGCAACTAACTAACTAACATTGCGATTTACACAGTTCATTTTTTTTTTTTTCAGTTTCACGAAATCAAATTGTCCGACTGTACAGTCGGTTTTTGTCACTCGATAAGCAAGGTTAGTGCAAGTAGATTCTTCTTTTTGATCTATACTTCAAATAACTTTTGCAAATATTTTGTATTTCTGTAGCCTACATCATCTGTTATTCATCCCTCCAGAATTATCCATGGCAACAAGTGAAACATAATTAATTGTGTCAATTTCCTATTCGCTTTTTGTAGTATCTCTTTTTATATTTCTTGTGAAATGTACTTCCATTTGGTCCGAAATATCCAAGATAAAGTAATTGTGGTGTAGCAGTAGTCATTTTAATTTTTCTATACATATCAGCGCTTTAGATTTCATAGTTCAGTATATAATTCAATTGAAAGTATAAGTAATAAGATTTAAGTAATTATTTGTCGATTTGATAGGTCGTGGATACTTGGATCGTGATGATTTCTTGCGGATTCCCGAACTTGCAATTAATCCACTTGGTGATCGCATTGTTGATGCTTTTTTTACTGAAACGTAATTAATTTCGTCAATTTCCTATAAATTTCTTTTTGAACTTTTTTCGTGATTCTGAATTTAAAACTGCTTTTAAAAAAAAAAAAAAAAAAAAAACATTTATTCATAGCTTACTTAAACGTCCATAAATATAATTCACTAGAAATATCGGTATTTTAGGGAGGATCTAGGACAAAAGATCAATTTCCGAGAATTCATAAGAGTATTGGCTCACTTCAGGCCAATCAGTAAAGAAAAAAGAAACATTCTAAACAGCAGGGAAGAGAAATTAAAATGTAAGCAGTTTGATGTCACATGAAATGTATCGTCATTTCTATATCTATGTTAAACCATCATGCTTGATTTATAATAAGTGGGATTGTTTGCGTAATTGGTGTAATTAATTTTTTTTTTTTGACATCAATTAATTTTATATCTAGATGGAATCTTTGGTATTCTGTGTTCCTTTTAGAGCACACTTACATGAAATATTTTAGATGAAATGAAATGTTTTATTTTTACTTGAAGTGAAATTATAATTTTTTTGGAAGTTGGTATGTTTATATATTTCATGAAGCATATTTACAGTTGCATTTTCAATGTATGACTTGAATAAGAATGGTTTTATTACAAGAGATGAATTCAAAGTGATTCTGAATATGATGGTTGGTGCAAATATAACTGCTGAACAAGTATGTTTTTTAATGAAATTATTAAAAAAAAAAAAACTGTATTGACTTTAAATACGCATAAATCAGTTTGTGATATTCGATGATTCAGTTTCCTAAAAACTACTTTACTGATCTTGGAATTTACCTTTTTATTAAGTTATGCAAACAATCGAGGGTTAAAGTCAAATGCAAATAGGTTGAAATTTTTAAGACTAGATATTGCTCTTTTAAATCAATAATAGAATAGTAATTTTATTAGGCATTCATTTGAATTTATGTTTTCGAGAGAGTTGTTATTTTATAGGGAGTTATTTTAGCTCTAGTTGATTTTAGTTAGAAAGCATTGCTGATCGAACAATATCTGAAGCTGATATTGACAACGATGGGAAAATTTCATTCGATGAGTTTTGCAGGGTGAGAGATTTTTTCTATTTAAAAAAAAAAAAGTACCCATTAAATAAAAATCCACTTACCTGAGTGGCTGTACTCTCAACTCAGGGATCTGTGAAAACATACTCTCATGATAGTAATGAAGTACGTCTTCGAAGATCCTAGCAGTAATTGCTGCAAGAATGGTTTTGAGTATTTTTTGTGCTTTAGAATTAGTTTTATTGTTGAAATCCTGAAAGATTCCAAAGTCCCGACGCCTTGATTAAAATCATAATTTAAGGAAGCTTTGTAAAATGAGCAATGAATATCTGATAGAACTAGATTTCAGGCAATGGAAAAGACTGACATCGAACAAAAAATGTCAATTCGATTTTTGAATTAGAACAATGTGACTTATTAAAGTATCGTTGTGAATCGGTTATTATTACTACTCAGTAGGCTGTACTTTTTTTTTTTTTTTGTATGCGTATGTTCATATTTTATTATTTTTCTCTGGGAAGTTAGTTACAAAATATGGAAAACTTACCACATCTATTGTGGAACGAGATGAAGTCTCGATTTCAATAACACTGAAAATATTTGAGTGGATATTCGGGAATCTTGTTGATTTAGATGCTTCGAAGATGAGATGTGGAATGAGAATATCTTCTTTTGCAAAGATAAGTAGGAACAAAAGTAGAAATGAAATAAGATAAGAAAAACTTCCTTATTACAATGTACGTGTAATTTATAAGTTTGAGCAATTTTATTACATTTTATTTTTATTTCTTGATCATACTGATGGTTTTCACTTGATTTTTGAATTTTTTATGTCTGTCTTGATTTAGATGGGCTGTAAGAAAATCTGAATTCCATCCGGTCATGATTTCTGCAGAGCTTAGAAGTCATGAAATTAGAAAGAGAGAGAGAGAGAAAAAAAAAAAGTCTTTAAAAGCCTTCTTTGAATCCCGAGCAATTGAAGAATTAAGACGAGGGAAAATTTTCCCATGTTTTGTACACTTTTTGTTGAAGAACTCTCAGATTACTTTTGGTAGAGGGGAAAGTCGATTCTATCAGAAAGTAACTCTCATGTTCGTAGACAAATGTTATGCTTTTCGTCGAATTTGGCACTTCATTTGTCTAAGTAGCATTATTTCCATCAGATTAGTGCTCTCATTTATTGCATTCTTCATCTTTAGCATTTTAAATATGTATACATTTTACTTGCCATTTCTATAATAAATACTAGCATATTCTTACGGCAGTAAATGATGTAAAGGTAAGAGAGCCCTAATTAATTACTTCTATCGTCAAATTTTGTAATGCTACTACTGCTAGTATAACCCATTAACATCACTTCGATCAAATTGATTAGTGATTTTAGAGTCTTCATGTACAGTCGTGTAATTGATTTAGCTATTTAATGATGTTAACTTTTACATTAGTGCATTTTCTTGCATTGCAGTTTGTTCACTTATCTTTATTTTGCAAAATACGGTTAAAAAAATGTACAATAACAGTACAGTATTTTGAATTAAATATGAGATTCGATGATATGATTATAGAAATGCTGCATCAAACAACTATGATTAATTATCATTGTTATGATAATGTCATATGATAAAATGCAGCATTAATGTAGAGAATGTTGCTTCAGGCATATCTTGAAGATATTTTATGATATTTCAGAGACCTGTGATTGATATATTTGGAAGTTGTACATTTGCTTTTTTTTTGTATAGATGCTGTTTCAAATAAACTTATGGTAAAAATTCAAAATTTAATTTTTGACAATTCACCAATTAACCCGAAAATGTTATAGCAAAAATTTCAAATAGTTAATGAATAATCTGAAGCATTTATTTTGATACATTTTTACTGTTCGAAATAATATACATCAAAAGCGGTTTTATGTGAAAAACAAAAATAAGCGAAAAGAAGAACGTCATTCAATATTATTATATTTATCCATTCCTTATCTACATTGTTACTGTGAAATGAAATGTGAAAATGCAATTGTACTGTTTAAAACTTTAATCTTAATTCTTTAACTTTTAAAAATTCATTAACTAATTGATAAAGCATGGAAGAGTCAAATTATTGCTGATAGTAAATAAAGAACGTTTAACTATAGAAGTTGAAGTTTTTCTTTTTTTCTAAAGAAAAAACTGTTTCAATGAAATAACTTAATAATTTGAATAAAATTCACATTTTCAGTGTTACAAATTATGTGCTTTTTTTTTGAATCATTTTTAGTTTAAATTTAATATAATAGCAGTTATTATCATTTAATAAATTATATCAAAATAAATCAAAATTCATTGCTATTATAATGAATTATATTCAGTTCTTGTTAAGAGATAAACAATTAATAATATTCTTATTATTGATTAAATTTTAATTTTCATCAATTTTTTTCTTCTATGCTAATTTAATATAATAATTCTTTTTATAACATTTACAATATTCTTGCTTTTTTTTTTTTTTTTTTTTTTAAATTACTCAAGTTTACTTTAAGCTTTTTGAATGAAATTAAATTTTTTCATTTATAATTTTGAAAAGAAAATTTTTTCTTTTTTGAAAAGTTTAACTTAAATTTGAAAAAGAAAAGTAAATATCTCTATATTATATATTATTTGATTTTCATACTGTAAATTTTTTGAATATCCTAGAATTGTCAACTATTGAAAAGAGAAATTTGCACTTAAAAGAAAAGATCAAGAATTGTTGATTATAAAGGTTTGATGCAATTCAATCATTAATCATTTCGTTCTTCTTTAACTGTAATGCTAGTAACTGGAAGCAAACGCTAATTGTAAACTGAATTTCACTTCTTTTTTTTTTTGTTTTTAAATTTTTATTTTTGACATTGATTGCTCGAAACATGTCAATAATAATGATTTCATCATTACAGGTGTATTTATAGTTTAGTTTACTTTGGTGATGATTGAACTAATCGATACTGTCTTTGCTCAAATTTTTATTTCACTATTCTTTCACATTTCATCTTAATAATATAATAGAGGTCTCAATTAATTATTTAAGCATTTCTCTAATTTGATAGAAGAAAGTATTAAGCTACTTAATTTTACTCAAATAGGAATTAGTTAAACATAAATGAGAATGATCATCAATTTTATTGTTTTTATTTTATGGTATTATGAGAGTTTCAATAGTTTTGTGAGAGTACCGATGAATTAAGATTCAAATCAAAGCGAAATAAGGTCAAGGTCAATCAATTTATGCATGTCTTATTCCACCACTTGACCTTTATGAATTGCATTGTGACAAATACATATTGACATGCTCTTTTAATTTAATCATTAAGTAAGATCTAAATATAATTCCCCAATTCTTTTTTTTTTTCTTTCACAACATGAAGTACTGAATCTTCCTTCTCTTCAATAATTTTTTTATTTTTCTTTCATTTAAATATATTTTGTCTGCTTGCATAAAATGTTGCGCATATTTTTCTTATTATTAAAGTTAAATGTAAAAGAATAATAATAATAATAATAATAATAATAAAGAGAATAATGTTCAAATATTTTATTTTAAAATGAAACTCACTTTCAAAAAATTTTATTCTAAGCAAAATGCTTTCTTTATTTTGCTCTCGTCCACTTCAATATATTTTGTCTGTTTTGTTAATTTCTTACAAAATATTTTCTCGTTATATAAATATTCTTCAATTTAAATTTAGCATTTTTTTATTCCTATGATAAACATTAAAGCACCATTTGTGTATTTAGGAAAATTAACATCAATAAGGTATTAATTTTTAATTTTTATTTGCGATATAATAGAATGAGAAAAATAAGTGAAGAATTATGGGAAATGGTTTAGAAAGAAAGAAAATGCTGCTTTAAAGATGTGAAATAATATTATGGGAAGTAATATCTAATGTAAATATTATTTAAGTTCCAAATTCATATCAATTTTAAACGAAATTAGATGTTGAATTTTTATCTTTATTAGACTCTCTATTGCTAATCAAATTTTTTCAAATGAAAAATACAAAAAAAAAAAAAAAAATGAAAATTTTCTTTAGTTTTATTTCTGACTATTGAATTTATAATTTAACCATTGTTTTTTCCTCTTTTTGCCTTTTAACAAATTTTATTTTATCAATTTAAATTTTGCGTATTATACGGTAAGTGATAAATTTGTATACGGTAGGGTCTATTTGCTTACGGTAGATAAAATGGACTTTGGAAAATTTTTTACTATCTAAAGAAGTTTTTTTTTTAAAGAAATAACTTTCTATTTTGTTTTTACAGTTAAAATTATTAAATTTGAAATATATTTTAGAATACACTGATCATCTGTAGTGGGATCTAATTAATATTCCTACATTAAAATTGTTATACTTTTTGAATTACTGTTGTTGAATGAATGATTTATAATATATATGAAAACTAGAATTGAAATAATTAATTTTTGCATGAAATGAATGTTTGAAGCATTCGGAATATTGAAAATGTTTTTAAAATTTATTTTTCACAATATATTTTTGAAGTGAAAATGTTTTAAAAAGTTTAAGACAAATTAGCTTTTAGTCCTTTTTTCTCTTTTTAAAACGAAAAGATCACCTAAAACAATACTTAAATGTTAAATTACTTAAATCAATGTTATGCATTAATATTTTTTTCTTTTTTTTTTTTCACAATATATTTCTAAAATTTATTAAAAACTTCAAAACTTTTTTTTTTCATTGATGAAATGTCACTAATTGCTAATCATATCAATCAATATTTTCTTTTTTTCAAGCATTTTGTGCAAATTTTTGAAAAATTTTAAACTATTAATATTTAAAAATTACATAGTAAAATTCATTTACATTTTTATTAATAATATAAAAGTTAAAAATGCATTAGGCTACTAGTTATTTATAATTTTTCAATGCGTAAAAATCGGTGATCTGAAAAGAAAGGCTAACTTTTGATAAACAACATAAAGTCTGTTTCGTGTAGATATTAGGATAATAAAATTTAATTAAATTTTATAAAATCATTGATTTAGAGAAGAACTAAATTTGAAGTTTTTTACAAATAAAAAATATAATTCAGGAAATATTTAGATTAAATTGCGACATTTTTTCATACCAATTAAAATTATTTGCTTTTTTTAATTTTTGTGTTTTTTTTTTTTACTAATTCAAATTCAATTTATTTAGATGTCACTATTAATTGAAATATTTTATTTTTTTAAATATTTCCTAATATCTAATAGCAAGAAACAAATTACTTAGATTATTTTTATATTTCAATAAATTGTAATTTTTACAATTTTAACATTTAAATAAATTATTGCATTAATTAGTTTTTTTGTGAACAATTATATTACAAAGTCTTTTCTTTTTTTTGATATAATAAATTATATTGTTGTAATTATATTAATTTGTAATTAAAATTATTTTTGCTTACATTTATATCAGAATTATTTTTTCTTTGTTTGCTCATGGTACTTAAATATTTAAATACCTGACTAAAGTGTTTTTTTTTTTTTTTTTCATTTCATAAATTATATATAATTTTTAGGGTTAGCCAAGCAAGCAAAGAAGGATGTCAACATTAACGATGACAACAACGCTAATACCATTTTCTTCTACAATATCAATTGCACTTATAGATGTTTTTCGAGTTTGTTTCTATAATAACTAAAATTTAATAAATTTTATTAATTATAATTTTGAAAAAATATCCAATGAAAAATTTTTTTCTTCAAATTTTAATTTATAAATTTCAATATCCTTCCAAAATATGCAAAAAATATTTTTTTTCTAATAATTGGAATTTATTTTTAGAAAAAAAAAAACAATATTATATATTATTCACTTAATTAATTAATAGTTTATCAATCAATAGCAGCTTATTGATAATGATTTATCACCACTGATAGTATCATATCTCTTCGAGAATTTACTTTAGAATGATGTATTATGGGCATTAATAATGGGTATAATTTTGGCTTTTGTTCTTGGCTTTGCAATGGGCGCAAATGACGTTGCAAATGCATTTGGTACATCAGTTGGTAGCAAAGTATTAACTTTACGACAAGCTTATATTCTTGCAGTAATTTTTGAAACACTTGGAGCATTACTTATTGGTAAATTTTAAATTTTACTAATTACTTGTAATAAACAAAACTAGTAATATTCATTAAATTCCTTTTTTTTAAAAAAAAAAACTTTAACAAAAAATAAATAATTTAAATTTTTATTAATAATCGCTTTTTTTTTTTATTTAAAAAAAATTTTATAATTAGAATTGTTTGATTGAAAATTAATCCTTTCTAACGTATTTCATAAAGAATATGTAATAGTGAAAAAGATTTATTATTTTCTTTTTGATCATAAGAATTATTGATTTTCTCTCTTGATCATATCGATTAATGATCGTTAAATGTGATATTTTGAAGTGTAATTAATTGATTGGAAGTATTCTGTTAATGTTTGATAAATTTTAGTAATAGAAGTTAATAAATGATTGACATTTAAATTTAATTTTTTTTTTTTTGAGGTATAATTTTTATTCACCGAAATATTATTACATTTTAGGTTATAATGTAACGGATACGGTACGTAAAGGTGTTATTGATTTAACTTTATATGAAAAGCAACCAAAAGAAATTTTTGTTGGACAAATTGCTATTCTTGGAGGTTAACTTCAAAAAAATCAACAATAAATTTTAGAAAACAATCTGAAACTTTTTTTTTTTGAAAAAAATCTATTCGTTAAAAAATAATTATTATAAAGTAATAATAGTAATGAATTATTTACCAGGTTGTAATACCAATAATGAATTAATTAACAAGTTTTAATATTGCTAATGAATTAATTAACAGGTTGTAGTATTAGTAATAAATTAATTAACAGGTTGTAGTATTACTAATAAATTAATTAACAGGTTGTAATACTAGTATTGATTTAATTAACAGGTTGTAATACTAGTAATGAATTAATTAACAGGTTGTAGTATTAGTAATAAATTAATTAACAGGTTGTAGTATTAATAATAAATTAATTAACAGGTTTTAATGCTAGTAATGAATTAATTAACAGGTTGTTCATTATGGTTACTAATTGCTACACTTGCTCGTTTACCTGTATCATCAACGCATAGTATTACTGGAGCAACCGTAGGATTTGGTTTGATGACAAGAGGTATTATTGGAATACAATGGCGGAAAATTATTCATATCGGTAGAATTTTTCACTTTTTTTTTTGCTAAAATTTTTTCTTTTCAAATTTTAGCATTTTTAAGTTTTATTTTTTGCATATTTAAGGCTAAAAATAGAATAGATATTATATTATCTAATTATGATAATATTCATTTAATATTTGTTATCATTTAAAAAGTGAAAATCAATGAATTAATATAAATTGAAAACAAAAAATTTGAATTATATATTCATTCAGTTGGTTAATTTTGTTTAATTTTCTTTTATGCTAAAATTTATAAAAAAATTTTTATTACCATTATGATTTATAAAATTAAAATTTAAATTATTTCGAATTCTCATACCCTACTTCTTTCCTCAAATAGTTGCTTCATGGTTTATGTCACCGATATTGTCTGGTGTTGTATCAGCTATTCTCTACATTATTCTTGATCATTCTGTTCTCAGACGGGTATGCTTATTATTTTAAATTGTTTAATAAATTTTAAATTTCAATTTTTGTCTTGTTAAAATAAAAAAAAAATTGTTTCAATTTATTCACATTATCTTATATTTCAGGTAAAATTTTCTTTCTCTTTTAACCATTTAAAATTTTACTTGCTTTACTTTTAATATTTTCACAATTTTTAGGATGGATTTTATTTGAAAAATTAAACTTGAAAAAAAAAATATTCAATCAATTTATCACTCAATGTGATAATTATTCCTAAGAATATGCAATCTATTAACATTTATTTCGATAGATTATTTTACATTTTATTTTAGAAAAATCCATTTCGCTGTGGATTGAGAGCTTTGCCAATATTTTATTGGCTTTGTATTGCATTTAATGTTTTCACAGTCAGTTATCAAGGATCTAAATGTAAGTAATATAATAATTAATTTTAATTTAATTTACATAAATTTACAAAACTAGAAATTATCATTGTAGTGCTTCACTTATCAAAATTACCAATGTGGATATGCGCATTGGTGAGTGTTGGATGTGCAACAATTGGCGCTATTGTCATTCATTTTTTTCTCTCACCAAAACTGAAAATTTGGATAAACAGTAAATTTCATTCTTTTTTTTTTTTTTTTTTTTGACTCTGCTTATATTTTGAAAGAAAAAAAAAAAAACCATTTTCATTTTAAAAATTATTCTTAAATTTTAAATTATAATTAACAAAATTGATCATTCTAATCTTTTAATTTACGTAATTCAATTTACTATTAATAAAATGTTTTAATTTACGTAAAATTACCATAGTCTTTAAACTTAATAATAATAACGAATTTACAAACATTACTATAACTTACGTAGTTCAAATTACTATTAGTAAACCTACGTAAAATTACCTTAACCTTTAAACTTATAATAACAACGAATTGATAATAATACATTTGAATAGTTCCAGAAGTCTCTAATGATATCTTGAAATAATGATTGTGATCAGATAAACTGCACTACATGTATATCTTTCCATATTTGATCAATTTTTAATTGTAATTAATCACAGATTACAATGAATTGCTGTATCTCATTTATTTCATTTTAAATTTAATTAAATTTATTTTAAATTTATAATTATTTTAATATCATCAAAATTTGCAGACTCACTTAGTAGTAGTAGTAGAGAGAGAGAAGATTCATTTGAAGTGCAAACGATAAGTGGCGCAACTGAATCGCAAGATAATATCTTACATCAAAAATGTCAAACATCAAAAGCTGAAACTGTTAGCGGTTTATCCGTCAACGAAGGTTAGAAATGTTAATTTTAATTTTAATTAAAAAAAAAAATTAATGATAGATTAAAAAATAAAATTAGAAAAAGAGAGAAGGAGAGTGATATTTGGAATAATTCGAAAATAATTTTTAAAAATTCATATTGTAATACAAATTAGAATTAATAGAATTGATTATTATAATTTTTTGACTTTCTTAAAATCTAACTTTATTGATGGTTGTATATTCGAATAGTTCGGAAAATTTTTAAGATATCAATAGCTCCTGGAACAAATGATAATTTCATTCTTATTATCAGTGATATCATTTATTTTACATCTTTTCATAAGGCTAAAATGAAATCAAAAAAAAAAAAAAGTTCGAAAGTATCACAGTCATTTAAAATGACAGATCGGATATGATACTGTAATTGATAATGATTAAAAAAAAACTGAGAGTAATGCTAATGTGATTGTAATCGAGAAAAGTTATAACCGGATACGGAAAATTAACAATCATCCTGATGCATTTTATTTTCGTACATACTTGCAGTTATTATTATTAGATTTATATCATCGTATTATGCTAAATTAAATTTTGCATTAAAAATTGATATCTAGGTAAGTAAGAAAGTAATTAAGTAAGTAATTAAGTAGATAAGTAAAGCAAAAATGATTAAAATTTATCGGACACAAAAAAAATGTAACAATTTTTCCAGCAAAATGTCAACCTGAAACATTTCTTTCTTTTTTACAATATTTAATATATATAATTTTTTTGTTATAATATTTTTTATAATAATTTTTTTTATAATATAAAGGTAAAAATTTGTTTGTTACATTTAAATGTTAACTTTTGCATTTTATTTTTTATTCTTTTTTTTAACTTTTAAAATTTTATTTTTTCATTTTGCTTATAATTTATCATTTTTTTTTTTTTGTTATTTATGCATGAAATAAATTGAAAATTATAAAATAATTGAGTTAAAAGTCGTTATTTCAATATAAATTTTACAGGTAACAAAACGGTAGATTGTGATGCAAAGAAAAACGGAAAAGAAATACTTCGATCACAGTTAACTGATAATAGTTAGAAATCATTTTATATTTATTAGTATATTTTAATATTTATTATTTTATTATTATATTTATTAGTATATTTTAATAATATTTATTATTTAATATTTATTTTTTTTTTATATATTTATTAGTATATTTAAAAAAAAAAAATTTTTTTTTGGATTGTATGAAATGTACAGGAATTATACTTATTTCTTACTTTTCCTTTCTCTCTTTTTCACTTACTGATTGAAATATAAATGAAAAAAAAAAAAACTTTTGTTTTTAAATATTTCAAATATTCCAATTTTTTAATTATTGTTGATAAGTGTTAGTAAAATATTTCGTTCTATAAATTAGCAATGAAATTTGTTCGATGGATATTACCGGTTGATAATCGGATAACGGATGATAGAACAATGAAAATATTCAGTTCAATACAAGCTTTTACGGCATGTTTTGCCGGATTTGCGCATGGCGCTAATGATGTCGGGTAATTTCTCTTTTTTTTTTTCTTTTTTTTTTTTTGTTGTTGTTGAAATGTCATTTTAAAAAAATATTAAAATTCAATTTGATATTTAAAAAAAAATTTTTTTCATGTATAAAATAGAATTATAACTGAAATTTCTATAATTTTGAAATATAACAATTAGTGAGAATTTTATATTCTAACTAATGAAAGATTAAAATGCTATACGTTTGATAAAGATTAATTTATTTTGATAGTTATAGCAAAAAAAAAAAAAAAAAAAGAATGATACGTGTTTATATTTTCAGGAATGCAATAGCTCCATTAACAGCACTGATATCAATTTATTCTAATTTAGACGTACGACAACGTAATGAAACGCCAATTTACGTATTACTTTATGGTGTGCTTGCGATCTGTGTTGGTCTTGTGATACTTGGACATCGAGTAATACGGACTATCGGTACTGATATGTCTACGATTAATGCTGCAAGGTTTAATTTTATTTTATCAAATTAATGTATATTTTAAAATTTTAATGAGCAATAGAAACTATCAGTAGTCATATGTCTACGATTAATGCTTCAAGGTTTAATTTTATTTTTTTTTATTTTATCAAAGTTTACTACTTTTTTTATCATTTTATCAAATTAATGCATATTTTAAAATTTTAATAGATAATACGAACTATCAGTACTGATATATCTACGATTAATCTGCTGCAAAGTTTACTTTTTCTGTTTTCATTTCATGAAATTATTACTATGTACTCTAAAATTCTAAAAAATTTTCTTACATTATATAATAATTTATAATTTAAATTAATAAATACACTATGAATATATAAAATATGTGTAAGTTATAATGAAATAAAATTAAAATTTGAATTTAAAAAAAGAAAATGAAAGAAGCAAAATAACGAAATGTTATAAAATTTGAAAGAAAGAAAAAAAATTTGTAAATTTTAATTTTTTTTTTTTTTAATTTGTAAATTTTAGTGGTTTTACAATTGAATTTGGTGCAGCAGTAACTTCACTAACTGCTAGTAAACTTGGCTTACCGATTAGTACAACGCATTCATTGGTTTGTTTTCACTTTCTTTTTTTTTTTTTTTACAAATATTTTGATTTTAATTTTTTTTTTCTTAAAAAATAAAAATTTAAGAAAGAAATGAAAAATTAAAAACATTTTTACAGGTTGGAAGTGTAATATTTGTTGGAATGATTCGTGCTAGAAAAGGTGTCCAGTGGTCAGTATTTAGAAATATTGCTTTATCATGGATATTAACTTTACCAATTTCAGGTTAATTTTATTTATTTATTAATTTTTTGTAAAAATATTTTTACTTCTAAAAAATTTCTTAAATTAAGAATTAAATTCAAACGATCATTTTTTTTTTAGCTTTAAAGTTTTATGCATAGTTTTTCGCATTTATTCAAAATTTAAATGTTTAATGTTGGGAATGAATTTGTTTAGACAAAATGAATTATTTAACATTCAAAAATTATTGCTAATATAATTTTAAAATAATTTTAGGTCTTATAACAATGGGTTTAATGTTAATTCTAAAATTTTCACTCTGAAAATATATGGTTACAATGTTTTTTATTTCCTTTTTTTTTGTGCATATATTGTTGCATTGTATTATATTATTCATTTTGTATATTTTAATAATTCATTAATTCCTATATTTAATTTTAATTTGTTTGATAAAATGAAAAAAAAAATTGCTTCCTTTCAAAATTTTACTTTAATTTAGTAAATTAATAAATAAGCAAATTAACGTTTGAGATTCATTCTTTAATTTTAAACAATTTTATTTAAAATTAAATAGCATAATTAATATCTTCCAGTAAGAATTCTTAAATTTTTAAAATTTTTATGGCACTGTTTTTTTTAGCTAAATAATTGAATAATTGAAAATTTCCTTTCCTTTTTTTTTTTTTTTTTTTGAAAGTTTTTTGTTAGTATTATACATTCTTATCTTAATTATTCTTCACGATTCTGATCCCCAATAACTTATCAAATTACTTATCTTTCATTAATTGTAAACCATATTTGATGAGAAAAAAAAAACATTAAGCAAATAATAAATCAATTAATTAACATTTGAAAAAAGTTAAATTTATTGAAATTTTATTGAAAAAATTAATTAGGCATCGCAACATTAACAGTATGAAAACTCGAACAATCTTATTGATTTATTTTCAAAATTATAAAATTTATATTAAGTAAGTAAACTTTTTTTAAATTACAAAATTAAATTAATCTTTGTAGAAATAGTAGTATCAATAATATCAATCATTAAATCATTATTAATCTAATAAAAAATACTTAAACATTTTAGCAATACATAAATGAAATGACGAATAGTTTCTAATTAACAAAATTTAAATTTTTAAAAGAAAGAATTGAATTAGAAAATAGGTATGTGATATTATCATATCTTATTGTTATATCAGTAATTAATTAATTCTTTTATAGCTAATTATCAATAATTAATTTTCTTATGCTAATTACTTATTTTTATGTAATTTTGAAACGATTTATTCATTTGTTTGATAAAAATAATCTCATTTTAACTCTCTTTTTTCATTCTTTTCCTTTGATATTTAATAACATTGTCTCTAACTTTGATCATATACTGATAATAGTAGTGATAATAATGATAATAAGCTAAAATGATTGTATTTATGCTAATTCGATACTTAATAACATTGTCTCTAACTTTGATCATATACTGATAATAGTAGTGATAATAATGATAATAAGCTAAAATGATTGTATTTATGCTAATTCGATACTTAATAACATTGTCTCTAACTTTGATCATATACTGATAATAGTAGTGATAATAATGATAATAAGCTAAAATGATTGTATTTATGCTAATTCGATACTTAATAACATTGTCTCTAACTTTGATCATATACTGATAATAGTAGTGATAATAATGATAATAAGCTAAAATGATTGTATTTATGCTAATTCGATACTTAATAACATTGTCTCTAACTTTGATCATATACTGATAATAGTAGTGATAATAATGATAATAAGCTAAAATGATTGTATTTATGCTAATTCTTCACAATGATAATTCTTGTATGTTATCAAAGTTATAAGAAAATTTGTCGTTGATGAATAATTTTCTAACATATCACTAACTTTTCTTTTGTATTATTTTAATTAAATAAACTTTATAATAAAAAATATATACAAATATTATTACAAAACTTTACATCAAAAAAAAAAAAAATATAAATCTGAAATTTGAAATATATTTAAAAAAGAAAAAGAAAATATAAATTTTAGATGCATTCAAAAAAAAAAAAAAAGAATTTAAGCAAACGTAATTTTGAGATCAAACATTTTACCTTAAAAGAAAAGAAAAATGGACGATGAAAAAAATGTAATTATTTTAAAGATACGATTAAAATAAAACTACTAAAAGAGGTAAATATTGGAAAAATACAGAATTGAATTTCTAATTTTTCCACATTTTATTTTTCTTCTTTTTTGAAATTTTAATAGTGATTTCAATTTATTAGAATGGAAAAAAAAAGTTTTGCAAACAAAAAATTTTAATTTATAAATTGGAATGAAAAATAATTTCATTTTTTTAGTTTATTTAAAAAAAAATTTTGTAACTTTACAATATTGCATACTAAATTTCCATTTATACTCATTTCATTTCTTTTTAAACAAAAATTTCATAAAAATTAAAATTTCAGTTTTTTAATTTTACAAACTTTTTCAATTAAAATAACAATATTGCATTGATAGAATAATTTCTTTTCAAATCGAATTTTCAAAAAAAGAAAAAAAAAAGGAGAGAAATCTTATCCATTTATTCAATATATCAAAATATCATTAATTTTAATCATTAATTAACATTTCAAGATTATTAACAAAGTGATAAGTTTAAGTGATAAGAAAATGTCATTATGGAATGCTTTTCATTTCAAAAATTAAAAATTTATAACAAAAACTTCATTAATAGCATCGAACCACCTGCTACTATACCTAAAATATTTTCTTTTAGTAAAATTTTCATTTCTGAATGTTTTATTTATTTATTTATTTATTTTGTACACATTTACAAAACAATAAAATAATACATGCAATTAAAATTTAAGTTACTGCTAAGTTTAATATAAATTTCAACTTCAAGCAAAACATACAAACTTTCAAGATGCAATTTTGTTTTAAATAAAATTTAATGATGAAAATTCTTAAGTAATTTGTGCTCAAACATTCAAATCAGTTGCGTTAAGTAAGAAAATAGATTGAATTTTTGAAAATTTCAACAGCGATTGTAAGATTAGAGATATTTGCTTACCTGAAGCAGGTAAGGTGACAACCCATGACAGAAAGATATTCCGAAAAATACTCCATCGAACGCCAGCACTACGAGATTTAACAACACCAACTGCCACTACGCTACCAACCTAGAAAATTTTATTTGATGTAAACAATTTTTAAAATTGATTAATTTTAATAGCCATAAGAATAGGCTCATTTTTCAAGCCTACTGATAAGAGTATTATTAGAAGTATTATCAGATTATCAAAATAAAGCTAATGTTTTCTCTGATAATTTTTTAGTGATTGTTTATTTAACCTTTAATTGATTAATTTCTTTCGTTTTTTTTTTCCCAAAGCATTCCAAAAGAAAACAAATATCTGAGATATGATATTAATGATCAGATAAAATATATATATATATATAAATATTGATTATTGATTATAACAGAGTTAATCAAATAAACAATTATTGATTTCGATAATTTTAATTACCAAACAATGCGTTGTACTAATTGGTAATCCAGCTTTACTTGCCAATAATGCTGTTACTGCGGCACCAAATTCAATCGTAAAACCACTATAATTTTTATCAGAACATAGTTAAATATACATATATCTATGAAATACATAAAAAAAAAATTAAAAACATTTTAAAATTTATGCCAATTTGAATAAATTCACATAACTAAAATTTTCAGTTAAAAATAAAATTTAAAATAATCAAATAAAAAATAAAACATATTTGTCAGTTTTCTTTTTTTTTTCTTAAATTGAAATTAATAAATTTGTCATACTGATAAGAAAAAAAAAGGAAAAGTATTTTAACCTAGCCGGATTAATATTTGACATTTCGGAGCCAACCGTACGTATAACTTTATGTCCAAGTAGCACTAGGCCAACACAAATTGCTAATACACCATAGGCCAGAACCCAAATTGGTGTTTCATCGTTCTGTTGCACATCCATTTCAGCATAAATGGACAAAAGCGCCGCTAATGGTGCTATTGCATTTCTAAAAATTAAAAAAGAAAAAAAAAAATCGAATGTTTTCATTCTTAAAATATTCAAAGTAGTGAAAATTTTTTTTATTTTATAATTTTAAAAAATAAAAAATTCCATCAGAAAAAAATTTTTTTAAGTTTTTTAAAAATTTTAAAATTTAATTTCGAGTGAAATTTGCTTACGCAACATCATTTGCACCATGAGCAAAACCTTCAAAACATGCAGTAAATGCTTGAATGGAACCAAAAACCAGTGTAGTTCTTGAATCCGGTTGATGTTTTTTATCCGGTAAAAACCATTGCACAAAATGTTTTAGAGCTAAAAAGAAATTTAAAAAAAAAGAAGAAACGATGAAGAAGGAAAGGAAAGATGACCCGGAACGGATGATAAAATGTACCTGAAACTGAGCGCTTTTTTCCGATTACCGCCTTACTATTCACTTCATCGGAACATAAACCATTATTGTGCGGAATGAAGATTTGCACAATTCCATCTGCAAGTTCAACCTGAAGAAATTAAGCCTACCATCATAATGTGATCCTTTTGAACCGTAAAAAAAAGAAATTTCGTTTCCGTTTCACTTCTTCTCGAATTATTTCAAAAATTCAAATTTTGAAATATTTAATGTCACTTTTTGCAAAGTACTTTTTGTATCTCTTTTTTTTGTTGTTTTCATATTGACAAAAAAAAACATTTATATTCCGGATCCGGATATTCTATACAATCCTAAATCTATTATCAGTAAATTTAAATTATGTTTCAACGAAGATAGAATTAAGGAATAATATAAATGGAATGGCTGAAGATACGTTTAATCTTTATTGGAACTTGTCCGGTAATATTAGGAAGATCAATTGAAGGAGATTGATCAGTTCTTCCACCTTCTTTTTCTGGAAAAAAAAACGTTTTAATTAAATCAATATTAGTAATTAATTAATCAATAATTAGTGAATAAATTAAATTTAGTATTTGTAATATTAAAACAATACTAATTAAGCCAAAATGTTTAGTTTGTAAAATTCACTAAACATTTCATTTATTTCACCAAAAAAAAAGCATTCAAATTTGAAAATTATAATGCAAAAAACGAAAAGTAATACTTGTTAATAATTAAATTTACATTTTAAAAAAAAAATAATATTTGTTAATAATTAAATTTACATTTAAAAAAAAAGTAATATTTGTTAATAATTAAATTTACATTTAAAAAAAAAAAGTAATATTTGTTAATAATTAAATTTACATTTAAAAAAAAGATAAATAAGAAAAAAAGACAAACATTAATAAATAAATTTAAATTTTTACAAAAATAAAAATTTTACTTTCAATCCATTTTCTTAGTTTTGGTACCATTAAAAAATGAATAGCAAATGCAACAACGGTTGCTATTGCAGCACTAATTAACAAACACAACCAAAGAGGTAATTTAGCCAGGTGTAATACTGAAATTTAAATTTAATTTACTAATTAATAGACTAAAACTATTAAAGGTTAAAGGTTAAGTATATTCTTCACATTAAGCCATTTATACTTATCGAACAATACTGAAATGATGAATGAATATAATATGAGTTTATTTAAAGTATTTATATGTATTAAAAAAAAAATATAATAATAATAATACATTGAAGAATTCATCACAATTAAATTAATAATGAAAATTTTGAAATTTTTTAAGATTAAAATCAATAATTCGTTTTTTTTTTTTTTGTTGTTGTGTTTAATGAAAAAAATAAACAAACTCTTAGAGCCTTGAAAGCTAATAGCAAAAGTATTAAAAGCAATACAAAACCAATAGAAATATGGTAGAACTCGTAAACCACATTCGAATGGATTTTTCTGGAAGAAAATTTAATTAAAAATAAAATTATTATTAATTTATATACTCACTTTCAAAATATATCATTGTAATGAAGTGGTAGAATTATTGAATTAAAAAATAAATAAACTAAAAGAAAATTTGCTTAATATAATTTAAAAAAATAAAAAAAAAAGACAAAATAAAAGAAGAACAAATTTACTTAATATAATAGAAATAATTAAAACTTTTATAAATCATTATTATATTTTCATTTTATTTTTTATTTATTTATTTTTTTTTATTTGATAGAAATAAGAATGAAAATAAATTCTAACCCTTCTTATAACTGTAAAATCAACAATTATATAAAGAACTGATGAAACAATTCCGGATAATAGCGGTGAAATAATCCAGGAAGCTACTAAAAAAAAAAGAAAAAAAAATGAAAAGAAAATAAAAAATATGTAAAATAATTGAAAATAAACTTTCTAAATAAAAAAAAAAAGAAATTTTAACAAAATTATCATATCAGTTTGAAATGATAATTGTTTTTTCGTTTTGCATACATATTAAAATTAATTAATTAAAACAAATAATTGAAAATAAATTTTCTAAATAAAAGAAAAAAAAGAAATTTTAACAAAATTATCATATCAGTTTGAAATGATAATTGTTTTTTCGTTTTGCATACATTCTAAAATTAATTAATTAAATGTACCAATATTAAGAATTTTCCACCAATGAATTCCTTCCGTTCCTTTCATTATTAAACCGAAACCAACCGTTGCACCGGTAATACTATGTGTTGTTGAAACAGGTAATTGAGCAAATGTTGCTATTAATAGCCAAGTGGAACATCCTTCAAAATTAAATTTACTCTTTTTAATATTTTATTTTAATTCATTTCAAATCTTGTTTATGCTTATTTTTAAAAATTTATTTTAAATCTTAACATCAGTAAAATATTTTGTTTGTTAAAAAATATTCCAATTAATTTAACATTACAATTTCCTTTTTGCCTATTTGAATTATATCAAATTTTTAAAATAATTATACATTTCATAAATTTCATTTTTTTTTTTTTTTTGGCTATTTGAATTATATCAAATTTTTTTTTTTTTTTTTTGTATATATTAATTCATTATAATTCTTTACATAAATTGGTATTATTAATATGATTTAGTCAGAATCGATCAGTTTTTCAGAAAATCGGATTAACATTCAGTTTTTCAGAAAGTCCGATTAACATACTGATAAAATATTTTCGGAAAATGTTATGATTTGATCAGTCTTCAGATAATCGGATTAACTTTCAGGAAAAGTAAAATATTTTAATAAAATATTTTTGGAATACGTATACTTAGTACTACATATCTTTTGATACTTTCTTACATTTTTAAAGTGATATTTAAAACGGTTAGTATTAATGAATTCATAACTTTTCTCTTTTTCTTTCTCTCTCTTTCTCTCTCTCTCTCCTTTTTTTTTAGAAATTTATTAAGAAATAGAAGAAATTAATAAACCTGCAAGAATTGCTACCTGACCAACTAATAATTCTTCTGGTGCATTTTTATACAAATTTAAATTAATAACACTTTTTCGCATTGTATCTGTCACATTGTAACCTGAAATTTTTTCAAAAAGTTAATGCAAAAAAAAAAAAAAAAAGAGGAAAAGAAAAGATAAAAATCTAAATTTCATTTTCTATTTCAATTTGTTTTATTCTTCAAGGTTATTCAACGGTTTATCTAATTCAAATGTTATTATTATTTCAATTATAGCACTAATCAAATGATAATAATCAATAAATTAATTTCAAATTATATATTAAAAAAGAAATTAGAACTATACACAAAAAAACATACCAATAAAAAGGGCACCAAGTGATTCAAATATAATTGCTAATATATAAGCTTTTCGTAGACTAAGCACTTTACTACCAACTGATGTACCAAAAGCATTTGCTACGTCATTTGCGCCCATTGCAAAGCCAAGCACAAATGCTAGCACTATTCCAAGGATTAAAGCCCATAGAAATTGACTCTTTAACAAAGGTGACATTTTATATTGTTAAAAGAAATAAAATTTAATCATCCTCTCATTTCATAACATTCATTCTTTGATTTCATTTAAAATCTTTTTTTTTTAATTTAAAAAAAAAAAAGAAACAATGCTTACTCCCAAATTAGAAGCAGGAAGAATTGATGTTGTTGTGGATGCTATAAAATCCATCTAACGTCGTTTTCGTTTTCTTTTTTTCCGTTTTTCTTTTTTTTTTTTTTGTCTTTTTGTTTTTAATTTCCCTGAAAAATTGCAAAATGGATAGGAATGTTTGCCCAAGACAGGAATCGAACCTGTGTCGCCACGGCCACAACGTGGAGTACTAACCACTATACTACTTGGGCCAGGATCAATTCCGCTAAACTTTATTGAATTGATTTCGCTGAAAAAATGCATTGTACATTTTATGCTGCAAAAATTAGCAATGAAAAATGAAAAAAGAGCAAAACGTTGAATTTAAATACTTAAATACTGAAAATAAAATACTTGAAATATTTGAAATGTAAAAAAATAGAAATTTGAATGAAAAGCAAGTAGGAATGTACGAGAAAAAAACAAATATAAATGTATTTGAATAGCAAAAATTGCAAAAAGAGAAAAAAAAAAACATAGAAATGAATCATTCGCCTATATGAAATATTTTATAAAAAAATGAAAAAATTAAAAAATCAAAGAAATTTCAATCAATTTATAATATCAAAAAAAAAAAAAACAAAACAAATAACACTCAAAATTTTATATATTTTAAAACAAAATATCGTATTTTAAACAAAAAAAAAAAAATTTTTTTTTGAATAAATTTAAAATTTCTCATAAAAATTATTTTCCTAATTCAAATATTAAAATTAAATTTAAATTAGAAATAAATTGATAAGAATACTTGCAATAATTACCTTATATAACAATAAAAATAATTGGTTAACATTTTAATATTAGTTGTAACTATTTGAATCACATTGCTGATTTCACCTCTATATTGATTAAATATATTTAATCAATTTCAAACATAAAAAATACAAATGCATTTAAAAAATAAATAAAATAATTTCAGTTAAATAAAATATTTCAACTAGAAAAAAAAAAATTTGAAATGAATAATCAATAAAATGAAAAACTTGCGAAAATAAAAAAACAAATAAGCATTTTTCCTCCTTTTTTTTTTTACTTAAAAACATGATAGTTTGTAAATGTTAAAATGACAAAAAAAGCAAATGAAATGACAGCGAGCGATGATTGAATGATAAGTTTTATGTTTAAAAATATGTGACAGAGACAGAGACAGACACAAACATAACACTGAAAAATTGATTCGAATAGAACAGTCAAAATTGATTGTTGAAGTTAAAATATCAAATAAATGACAAATGGAATGTATAAATGCATCTAGAAGTATGTAAATTCAATTCATTGTTTGATTCATTTAGTATAAATTTTAAATTTACAATTAAAAAAAAAAAAAAAAAAAAAGAAAAAGGACAAAAAAAACTATAATTAAAATTTACTCATTGAATTTAATAATTTTTTGTATTCATATAAAAGTAAAAAAGAAAAAAGAAATTGAATAATTAATGTTAAATTAAATTTATGGTATTATTTAATAAGCACAGAAATATCATTTTTATGCTATTAGGAAGTGTAACATTTTTTTTTTTTTGAAATGTTGCAAAAAAAATTTCTGTAACATTTTATCAAATTTATCTTATCAATAAATATTTATTGAATTAAAAAAAAAAATATATGTAGCTTAAATTTTTACATTAAAATAAAATTTTTTTACTTAATAAGGAATGCTTAATTACTTTGTATAGTGCTTCAGCATATTGTATTAATACACATTTTTTTTTTTTTTTTTTTCGCAATTCTTAATTTTAAATTTTTAATTTTTCACTTAAAGAAGATGGAATATTGATGAAACTATCTAGCTAGTTCTGTCTAATAATTTATTTAAAATTGCAATGATTTATATTATTAGCATTATTTTGTTGACAATACACTCAGACTAAATTGATTTTAGAGATGTCAATGATAAGTGACTGATGAATTGTCAACCAAATTTGATAAGAAATTCATCCAATTATTGTAAACAATGTGAAGTAATATTGCAATAGCAAAAAATCAAAAAAAAAAAATAAATAAATAAAGCAAATGAAAGAAATGAAATTTTTAAAAAAAAGAAAAAAAGTAAGAAATTAAATCCAAGTAATTAATCAATAATTAAATTATAATTCAAACATGAAGAAAAAAGAAAAAAAAACTGAACAATAAATTGTTTGAAAAAAGGAAAAATCATTTAATTAAAGTTAAACAAACTAATCTAAGAAAAGTAGAAGTGGAAGAATTAACAAATTAACAATTTAAAATGATATAAAAATAAAATAAAAATGTTAAAACTATATGATAGAATGTTACAATTACAATTAGCACTGAAATATTTTAAATTTCAGAATTGAAAAGATAAATGATAGCGATAGTATGTGGGTGGGTGGATAATTAATGAAATTAATAGTGAAATTATGGTGACAGAACGAAGGGAAATCTTATTATTACTACTGCCTATTGGTTAATTTAAATTAATTTAAATTCTTTCATATTTATTACATCATGTTCTGTCATAAGTTTTAATTTAGTATAAATTAAATATGATAAATGATTTAATATGTAAAATTTAATATATGAATTTAATATATAAAAAAGAAAAATAATATGAAATAATATTATAAATTTTAGTATTATTTACTATGATGATAATAATAACATGTGACATTAATTACTTTTTTCTATCAATTTCCATTATATTAACATTTTGCCATATGTTTGTTAATTCGTTAATCAATTCAATTTCTCTCGTGCAAAATGTTAGATTTAATAATATTTGAAAAAGTTACAAATTATGAAAAACGGAAATAAAAAATAAGTAATTATTGTGAAGTTTAAAGCAGAGAGGAAAAAAGTTCACTAATTAAATTAATTAATTAGTATTTGAAATTTAACTTAAGTAATAAATTTTGAAATTTAACATTTAAACAATATTAGTTGAATTATTATTAAATTAAATAATTTTGATATGTAAAAATTCTATCCAATAGCTATTTTAATGATAAGTGTGCTAATATCAAAAAAAATTTTTAAAAATCATTTAGATAAAATTTCAAAAAATTTATACTAAAAGTTTTCAATTACAAATACCATTCGTTTCATTTTCTCCTTTGGATATATTTTATTGAAAATAAAAGAAAAAAGATTGATTGTTTGTCGCTTTCTTTGCTTACACCAAACTAAAACGTTTGAATTCATTTCTGCTTCATTTCAAATTCCATTTTACAATTTAGCTTTATTTAAATAAAACAAAACCAACTATCATTGACATTTAATAAATTTAAAGGAAAGGAAAAAAAAAATAAGTAAACAAATATTTCCGAGAAAAGAAAAGAAAAGTATAAAAAATTATTTTGAATGATTTTTGTTTTTCCAAAAGAAAAGAAATATTTTACTGTTAAACGTTCTTATCTTATCATATTATTATCAGAGCAATAAAATTTATCAAAATCAATTCTAATTACTATAAAAACAGACTAAAAATTAATGCATAAAAATGAAATTGAAATGATAGAATGAAAAAAAAAGAGGAAAAAATCAATTGAAAACAATTTTTATAGCAAAAAGAGAGAAAAGGAAGAAAAAATAAAAGCAAATGATTCATTGCGGAATAACTAATCATCAGATTTGCAAACAGAAATGGCTGATAATATCAAAATAATTTATAACAAAATGGAATCAAACATTTAATGCATTTCAATTTTAGAATTATTTATTGAATAATAGGTTAAAGGTCATATTGATATGATAAAAAAGGAAAAACAGAGAGGAAAAAAAAAATAAAATTGACGCATTTCAATTCCAATGATATTAACAATTACAAATTTTGGAATTATTTATTGACTAATAGGTTAAAGGTCATATTGATATGATAAAAAAAGAAAAAAGAGAGAGGGAAAAAATAAAATTGACCATTTCAATTTCATTTTTATAAACAGTTACGAATTTTAGGATTGTTGTGAATAGGTTAAAGGTCATATTGATATGATAAAAAAGGAAAAGAGAGAGAGAGAGAAAAAAAAAGTAAATAAAACTGAGAACATGTTTTAGAAGAATGATTGAGACGATCGGTAAAAATCTTTCCGATTGTATGGTTATCCATCTCTTTCTTTTTTTTTCCTATCATTCTTAATTTATTGTAATTCCCTCTCTCTTTTTTTCTCTTTCCCTCTTCTTCTCTCTCTCTCTCTCTGTCTTACTCTTCTAATTAAGTATGGAAGAGAAGATTTCTGAAAAAAATTGGAATTTTTTTTTTTTTTGCTTTGATTTAAATTATCATAAAGAATACTTCACTAAACATGGCTAAAGACATTTGAAATAAACAAAAAGTAAAAATAAAAAAAATGAAAAACAAGAAAAACAAGAAAATATTTAATGAAAAATTAAACACAACAAATACTCTATGATAAGCTGATAAGAGATTATCATTTCGTAATAAACTATCAGATCAGATAATTCCATATTATCAAATATCATTCTGATCTTCCCATATGCAATTATATCGATATCTCACTATATTATTCCTATTGAACTATATGTCTCACAATTAATCTGAATAATAAAATTAATTAAATAATAATTAGCAAAAAATAATTTAACAATAATTTTTAATTTCAGAAATTTCACTGATAAAAATTGTACAGGTAAGATTAACCGGATCAGGTAGAATGAGAAATGTATCAGGAAATAAATAATGTTAGCAAATCATAAAATATTATAATACATATATGTATGTATCTTATTTGCAATACTAATTCTGAATGCCAATAAATAATAAATAACTTTTTTTTATATAAGAAATTCACGTTGGACACAGTCCTTTATTTGATTTACATGTCAAATTACAATTTAAATGCATCGTCTTGTGAAATTCTCAGCTATTTTTAGAATTCTTCACTTCCTGCTTCTATTGATAACATCAATATTATAACAATTTTACTATGTATTATCATTTATAACTTTCATTATTATCATTATTATTAACATTATTATTAATATTATTATTATTATTACTATTATCATATTATTGTTGTTATTATTGCCACTATTAGTGTTATTGTTGTTATTATTAATAC